TCAACTGCGTAATGGGAATAAGAGCAATAATATAAACAAGTCAACCAAGGGGTGGTTGGTGACTCCGTGAAAAAATGTAAGAGGGTGCTGTTTACCATGTATGCATTTGGAAACACTATACTTGAATCTTCCTCTGCAAATACTCACAATGCATACAGAAATTTCACGGATGTACGATAATGTAATGGCTAATTGACATCATCCCCTCCTCAAGTCATCAGTACTCTATTATTTTGCAGACCATTTGGTTTTTGATTAACAATGACGCAATCACGCGAACTAGCCAAAATTGAACAGTGTACATCGCCCAAACGGCAAAAATCGGTTCCAGAACTCTTTGACATTTCCTTCTTTCTCTACCGAGATGGAGAGCAGAGCTTCTACATGGAACCTTTTTTTGCTGGCGTCGGATTACAATCGTTATGATCCAACCCAGCTCATCGCAACAAAGCTGGACTCTTTTCGCCTTGAGAGCGAGAACCAGATGTAGTGTCTGATTTGCCGAGTCAGTGCTGACTAGAATATCGAATAACTAAGCTCTAGTCGTCATAGTATTGCCTCTAGAATCTATCCAAGCAATTCTCGTGCTGCGGACCACGTTAGGGACATCAGGCTCTAGAGCCAGACGAGGTTCCCACGTACCCTAGCCCACCGCACCACAGAATTGTAGAAGCGCTGATAGGTCAACTTTTTCTTTTTATGATGATGAGTCGATCGATCCTAGTGATCGATAGTACCCAACTACGCTGTCAACAAGAGTCTAAAAGTGGAGGTAGGGTTGACCGTGAAAACGATTGGGCGATTCTGAAAGATAAAGAACTCTCATCACGGGCAAATCGAGGCATTGCATCAGTGTTGCAAGATCCTTGAAGATTGCTGAGGAGCCTTTCGAACCTTGTTGTAGAGCAAATCTCAAAACTCGACACTCTAGCTGATGATTTCACCCACTGTTTGGTTTTGGAGCGCCGGTATGAGTCCCGGTTTCAACAGGTTCATGATGGACTTGTTCGACTCCGGAAGGACGAGAAGTCTCGTCAGCTGACCCTAGAACACCTGTTGCGCTCTTTTCCCGAGATACATTGTGGTGGGAATCATTCTCGCTTTTAAGCATTAAAGCAGAAGATGAACAAATTTTCAATATCCCTCAACGCTTGTACTTCGAGAAAAATCTCTAGGGTAACTATATGGTTGTTCTATGTGGACAACTAGAGAAACTTCATCATCTGCTCGATCATCTACTAGACTATAGCAGGATCGGCAGATTCACTCGAAAGATACGACTTAAGACTATCAATATAGGGTTTAGTCGCATGCGTGTAAAGATCGCTAATGTAAACGCATCACCATTGCATTTCAATACCTCGAACGGTCCAATAAATCCCGTCACAGTTGGACAGGCAGATTAGTCGTGCTAAGTATAAAAGACGATTGACCCTGTATACTTTCCGGTTCTCCCTTTCGCTATTATCTACTCGTTTTTTTTTCAGATACTGAGCTTTCGCAATTTCATCTCGAACAAACCGCACAACTGCTTATGTCGTCACAATAAAATCATCGACGTGCTGGAACTCAGGACTTGTCATGTCATCAAGAGGTCTTATCGAGTCAAAATTGTTTTAATTTCTGTGGCAGCATTGACGTCTGACTGTAGCTCCGTAGCCATAGTTCCTCCCACACTCAAGGTAGAGACCTCGCCGATTGCGAAAATAGGTACTCTTAGTTGAATATCATAGTTCACACTAAGTAGCAAATGACCTGTCGAGACATTTGTGGAGTTAAACAGCGCAAGCTACAAGAGGGAAGAGACTCACTCCACTCTTTTAACGACGTAGCGTAACTACGCAGTACTTGATCAAGGGCTAAGTTCACACGCTCTGTTTGACCGAACGTTTCAGGGTGTGCCGCTGTTGACATGAACAATCTGGTGTCCAATAGTCCAGTCCACGCCAAAATATCGACGTAAACGGGTGTCACAGTCAGACACGATCTCAACCGGAAGGCCATGCAGACGGAAAACAATCTCTACAAAGACCTTAGCTGTTTTTTCATCGGAGATCATATCCAAAACAGAGGCAAGGTGAACCATTTTGCCAAATCTGTCCACTAATACAAGGTTGCCACTACGTCCATGTGTGTCACGCGAAAGTCCAAGCATAAATACATACTTACAGACCACCAGATGTCAGTTGACACAACCAATCGACCGAAATGTGGGCCTGAGTAGAACCCGATGGTCTTACTCTCTGACAAACTCACAAGTTCTCACATTCTTGGGCACCCACTTATACTTATGTATTTAATAGGTATTCGTCGGAAAGACTGAGAAGTGTTTTCATGTCCAAGATGGGAGACCGTACGCTGTCATGGGACTCATATAAGAGATGATGCTGCAAACCGTCATCAGAAATAACAACCCTTACTGCATCGTCGTGTTCATTCGCATAGCACAACAATTCAATGTGTACTCCAAAACGGTAAGCATGCTTTCTCGTGCAAGTTGCAGTGCTTCGTTGCAAAGGTCTTTTTAATTCCTTAACAAGTCCTGACATGTCTCATCAGACTTATACTCTTCAACAACGTCTTCGCGCCATGCAGTCGTTGCTTGCACTCCGATCGTTTCAACATTTTCGCATTGTTGAAATGATTCGTACATGTTTTCGTTCCTGGACTTTGAAATATAGTTCAGACGTGTCGACAACGGATCGGCTAACATATTTTTTGTCTGGCTGAAAGTGTGCGTCAAAGTTGTACTCCGCAAAGAAAAAAATCACCGATCTAATCTTTGCGATAATGAGGGGTCTATTCTGCCGTACACAGCGAGGTACGATCTGTATAGAATGCAAAGCGCTGCT